AATGTCAGTGACACCCTGTTGTTACATCTGATTTCTGCCATCCTGTCAAGGCCCTTCAGTTACATCATCTTCAGAGGGACTAAATGGCACTTTTGCTTCCCCTTCTGGTATTCATGCTAACTCTCCTCTATCACACAGCTTGTGGTTGAATGGAAAGTTCTTGACACTTCTGCTCACCTTGATTATTAACTCTTCAGAATGGTCACCAAGCAAAATCATTGCTGTGGGGAGATGGAAGATACATAAAACTGAATGGCTCCTGCTAGATGTGTCTCTACCTTGTCTCTCTGATTCTAGTCCTTTTCTCCATTCATGGACATTATCTTTATAGATAAGAGTCAAAACCTAATTCTTAGGGGCAAGAGGGATGGAACAAGCAAAGGGCATGTCTTCACAGCAAAAGCTATGAATGGACAAATTACCCAGGCTAGCTTGAATCTAGCTAGTGTGAGTAATGCCAGAGATGAAGACAGCACAGTGCAGACTCCAGTGATCTAAGAACTTGTCCTGCCTATGCACTGTGCTATCTTCACTGCTTACTGCTATTTTGTGTGCTTGGGAAGGTTAGCCATACACAGCTTTGTTGAGCAGACATAACCTTAGAGTATAGTGCCTGTATTACCCAGGCTAGCTTGAATCTAGCTAGTGTGAGTAATGCCAGAGATGAAGACAGCACAGTGCAGACTCCAGTGATCTAAGAACTTGTCCTGCCTATGCACTGTGCTATCTTCACTGCTTACTGCTATTTTGTGTGCTTGGGAAGGTTAGCCATACACAGCTTTGTTGAGCAGACATAACCTTAGAGTATAGTGCCTGTTTGCCGCATATTTTATCCTTGGGAGCCTATATTGTTGCTATCACCGGCATTTGGTAATGTCTTGTTGTGACTGTGCCGGGGTGGTCTCGTCGGGTTATCGGCCCTCTAGCCACCCCACCGCAGCAATCATGATGTGCCACCACCTAACCCACAGTACAGTTTAAGGCCGGGCTCCACAGCTCGGCAGTCTTGACCCTTTGAGGGCAATATTCTCGCTCTCCGTCTGGGGTAAAAGAGGGAAGAGGGGGGCCCGGGCCCACCCTCACTCACGGGCTCCAGCCCAGGGCCCTAGGGACTTGAACCATTTACTGTCCTGTCCGGCTGATGGGGCTTCCCGCTGAAACTCGTCAGCCCACCAACCATATCCTGGTTCTGCACTGGGCTGCTTCCTCTCCCTCTCTCCTCCTAGTACTCCCGTGGCCGCTCGCCATAGGACCTGTCCGGCTGCCAGTGGTTCGACCACTCCAGCCCCCATGTGTACAGAGTGCAGGGATCCCTTCTCCCATCTGGTATGTCCCTCGGCCTGGCGCCCTGGCTCACCTGCTTCCCGTGCCCGCCGGGTTACCAAAGAAGGAGGGGTTGTGGGACCCCTCCTCCCAGCGTCTGTTTCCTTCCCCTTCCTGTGTCCCGTTTGGAGTAACATTTAAATTCCCCATCGCATCCGGTGCTAGACGTGCTGACGTCCTGACACCACGGGGGGTGGGGAGGGAGAAGGCTCCGTCCACCCCGGTGAAGCGGTCAGAGCGTGGTTCCGGCGCCGCGTCCAGGGCCGCCTGATGCACTGCGGCTCCGGAGCAGCCAACACAGAGCCGGTGCCCTGTTCTGGGTCCCCCGAACAGGATTGGCACAGTGAGGGCTTCAGTGTGGGACCGCGCCATCCTGTCACACTTATTTTTTTCTTATTTAAGATAGTTTTCCTTCTCTTATCTGTCTTCTTCCACAGAGGTAGTAAAAAGCAAAAGGAGAAAGGGAACATCAGACAGAATTTAAGCTATCTCAGTTATGAATCGCTCTCTTAGGCCTCATCAATCCACAGAAGTTGTCCTGCTTTAACGATATAGTTTCAACAACGACGAATCCTGTGGCATCTTAGAGACTAAGGGCACATCTACGCTGCGGAACAAAATGGAATTAAGATGTGCAAATTCATCTACGTTAATTGTGTAGCTGAAGTTGAAATAGCTTAACTTGACTTTTGACATTGTCTACACAGCAGGAAGTTGAAGGAAGAAACAGAAGTTGTCCTGCTTTAACGATATAGTTTCAACAACGACGAATCCTGTGGCATCTTAGAGACTAAGGGCACATCTACGCTGCGGAACAAAATGGAATTAAGATGTGCAAATTCATCTACGTTAATTGTGTAGCTGAAGTTGAAATAGCTTAACTTGACTTTTGACATTGTCTACACAGCAGGAAGTTGAAGGAAGAACACTCTTCCTTCAACTTTCCTTACTCCTTGTGAAATGAGAGTTACAGAAGTTGGAGTAAGAAGCACAGTGGATAAGGTACCTGCCGCCAGAGGTCGAGGGCTTGAGCCCTGCCACCCAACCTGGGTCACCCAAAATGAGCTTGGTGATGGATGGACCTGGCACCCTTGCAACATAGGATGGATAAGGGGGCCCCAGAATGTACGGAGGTTGGGAACTCTCCTCCAGTGGTGCTGTGTAGACACTCATTCTGTTACTTTGAAATAGCATGAGTTATTTCGAAATAAGCGTGCAGTGTAGACATAGCCTAACAGATTTATTTGGGCATAAGCTTTTGTGGGTAAGTGGGTTTTAGCACCTGAGGGTATGTCTACACTACCCCCCTAGTTCGAACTGGGGGGGGGTAATGTAGTCATACGGAGTTGCAAATGAAGCCTGGGATTTGAATTTCCTGGACTTCATTTGCATAAAGCCGGCCTGCGCCATTTTTAAATGCCGGCTAGGTCGGACCCCGTGCCACGCGGCTACACGCGGCACGGACTAACTAGTTTGGATTAGGCTTCCTATCTGAACTAGCTGTACGCCTCGTGGAAGCCTAATCTGAACTAGCTAGTCCGTGCCGCATGTAGCCGCGCGGCACGGGGGCCGACCTAGCCAGGCATTTTATGTGTCTGGTAATTTCTCAATTTCTTTCCCAGACAAAACCTTCAAATACCGGACTGTCCAGTACAAAACCGGACACCTGGCAACCCTACCCTTCCTTGCACCCTCCCAGATACCTTACCCCCAATCAGCTCCTGCTCCCGCGTCATGGAGTGCTGATCCGGCGCCGCATCCCCCAAGCCCTGGCCCAAGCTGGGTGGAGGATTCAGCCAGGTGAAACACTGAAAATTTATTCATTTTTAATTCTTTTTTTATATGCGTTTATATTTTTGGGCTGCAAAAAACAGTACTAAAAAAAAACGGGTTCCAACTAAAGTAAAAAGTTTTGGAAACCCTGATCTAGCCAGCTTTCTATCCATCTTACAGTTCATTTATCCAATCCATATTCCCTTAACTTGCTGGCAAGAATATTGTGGGTGACTGTATCAAAAGCTTTGCTAACGCTGGCATTGGGGGGCTTCGGGAGGACCAGAAACAACTTATTTGAATATTCATCATTTGCTTAATGAATATGCAAATATGCAAATGAATGTTACAGGTCCTCCAAAAGCTTGTGAATGGATTTACTGGTCCCCATGTCAAAAAGTTTGGGAACCCCTGTAGTAAACCATTTGATACAGTCTCACATGACCTTTTTATCAATAAACTAAGGAAATACAACCTAGTTGGGGCTACTATAAAGTGGGTGCATAACTGGCTGAATAACCATTATACTAGAAGGGCATAACAAGTGGGGTCTCACGGTGTTTTGTTTTGAGACTGGTTCTGTTCAATATCTTCATCCATGATTTAGATATTGGCATAGAGTATGCTTATTAAGTTTGCAGATGGTACTAAGATGGGAGGAGTTGCAAGTGCTTTGGAGGATAGGGTCATAATTCAAAATGATTTGGACAAACTAGAGAAATGGTCTGAGGTAAATAGGATGAAGTTTAATAAGGACAAATGTAAAATACTCCACTTAGGAAGGAACAATCCATTTCACACATGCAGAAAAATACAGTTTCTAACCAAAAGAATGGAAGCTTTACAGAACTTTCACTGAGAATATAATTTATATATTTTGTGATTTGTTATACAAGCTAGTATTTTTAAGTTAGAGCAGAAGGTTGGATGCAGAAAACATGTATCATAACTTTAGAAAAATCCTATGGGCTCTTTAGATCAAATGGTAAATCTGCATGGTGAACATGGATAAATTTGTTCACAGGCGTTTCTAGCTTCAGCAAGCTTCTGGTCTAACTCATGGCTTTCCTTAAGAATTTAATATCCCATTTAATGTCAATGTGGTATAATTACCATTTTTAACCCAGCAGTAACAATTCAACAGTTCAGCAGTGCAGAAACAGTCCAGTCACCATGCTTGGTCGCTGGAATTGTTCTGCAAACTAACTTACAGGCTGAACAAACAAGGTCATCAATGAATAACCAAAAACCCAGAACCCACTCCTCTACCAATATGCACTTTTGCACACACTGTTAATTTCAGCTGTTCCAGAGCACTATTTACTCTGCTTCCAGTCTTTTTGACGCAGTTTTATGTCCCATTGTCTATATTGTCACTTCCCGATCTCTTCATGAAACAAAACAGACCCTAATATTAAGCGGGGGAGGAAGGGGAGAGTGAAGGTTAAGAGCCAAGAAAATTTTCCAGCAGAACAGTTTTCTGGACAGAAAATGCTGATTGGATGCAACCAAACATTTAATGGGAATGTATCTATTTAGTGAAAAAGTATTTGAAAATTTCAGTTTAAGATTGAAGAGCTTCAATATGATTTGCTTAAATTTTCAATTTTTATCTATAAGTATGGAAACTATCTTTGTAGCATTTTTAAAAGGTCATTTCAATATTTCCAAAGCTTTCCCCCCAGAAATGTTGTTGTATGGTAAATATTGAAATTTGGGCTTTTTGCTCCAAAGCAGGCGGAAAGGACTGAATTCCACGCGGGATGAACTCCAGAGTTTCCGCGGTTGTAGATAAGAGCATGGGGCTCAGTTTGCATGTTGAGTCTGCAAGGGGGAAATCTGGAGAGCCCCCCTGTGGTTGCTTGGCATCGGACCAGCAAGCAGAACAAAAGGAGAAACGGATCCGTGCTCCCCAGCCTTCTCCTGCTCCTCGTGGGGTCTTGGCCAAACTTGGCTGTGTGGGTTTTTTTTATTGCGCTCTCGCTCTGTGTCTGCGAAGCGGATGCTGCTTTCCAGCCTGCTCTCTCCCCGCCCCACTACCCCACTCCTGGCAGGGCGCCAAGTGCAGGCGCAGCGCGTTGTGCATCTTAACGACTCCCCCCTGGTGACCGCACCTTCCAGTGCACACATCAGCGGTAGGCGGAGAGGGGAGGCAGAGAGGGGGCTCGTATCGCCACCCACCGCCACATACCTCCAAGGGGGAGACAAAAATGGCAGCGAGATGCAGGATCTGCCCAAGCCCAGGCGGCGGGTGACCGCCATGCGGGCGGCTCCGGGCCATTGACGGGCTCTGCGTTCTTGCTGCCTCCCACCCTCAGCCCCTCTTCCTCGGCGCGCGCAGAGCGGCGGCCCCGGGCTGGCGGGGAAGCGGCAGCGCACGCGGTGAGTGGAGCAAGCGAGCGGGCGGGAGCGCGGCGCGGGGCTGGGGGGCTGCGCACGGCCGGGGAGCTCCTCGCCAGCCGGGCATTGCGCAGAGGCTCCCGGGCCAGGGCCATGAGCCGCGAGGCGGAGGGTGCCATGCCTGGCAGGGGTGGGCTGCGGATGCATGGGCGCTGCTGGTAGGTTTGCAGCTCTGCCGCGGGGCGAAGTGGAGGGGAGCGCGTTTACACGGGCAGGAATTGCCCGCGTGGGCAGGCGGCGGCGTGTGCGAGGGATGCTGGGTCGGGCTGTTACCAGCAAACGCCGCCTCAGCACTTTGTGTGGCTGTAGCCCTGCACATGCAGGTCTCATCAACAACATGCAGCTCTGCCCCACCCCCGCCCGGCAGCCCCAGGGGTCCTCTGGTTTCTCTTGGTAGATGTAGCCTCAGGTAACTTAATTTCTGCTGGGGAACAGGTTCCTAGGAGGATAAAGACACGAGGCTTAGCCTAGCGGCACCTTAATGAGAGGAATAAAACGATCTGGTTTGAACAGCAAATGTTTGGGGGCGCTCAAGCGTGGTCTCTAGGGAGGTGTGTTTGATTTTTTCCAAACTCCAGAGACCCGCTGAAGGCAAATACAGGTGCAATTTAAATCTTCTCAAGCTGTGACTTGGTAAATACTGGTTGAACCTCTCTAGTCTGGTACCCTCAGGACCTGATTGGTACCTAACCAGAGAATTTGCCAAACTGGAGGTCAACATTGTGTAGCAGTATTACCAATACTTGCACAGCTTACTGGGCTCTTGTAAGATATTTATAGAAAAAATAGAGCTAAATAACAGCCCAGAACACTGAGAGCCGGGTCTGTGGCTGTAAACAAATTTTATGGGACCAGGAAAAACTTTGCCACACCCATGATAAGTGAACATCCAGCTAACTAAAATCAAGTGGGACCAGAGATGTTGCAGGACTAAAGAGGTTCAATTTGTACTTGGAAATCACATAGTTGTAGCGCAGTAGCCGCACGTTAGACAAGGGGGTCTCTTGTTCATTGGGAGAGATTTGGGTATTGGGAAAAAGTAGTCTTTCTTTCTGAAAATCAGAAGGGGAAAACACTTTTTTTCCAAGTGGAAAAATACATTTTAGCTGAAATGTAGTGAGGACTCCTAATCCATTCTAAGCTGTACTTAGAAACTAAAGCATAGCTCAGATGTGGATGGGTATCTGTAAATGTTTTTATTGACAATGTTAAGTTTTTGAAATAAATTATGTAACAGAAAATAAAGCCATTGCATTGTGAAACTTATAACATCCATTTAATATCAATATGAATCTATTTTGACATTACCATTTTGATAGCTTTTTAATATTGAGTATACTAAGTAAGGAGTTTTAAAAATTAGTGAGATTTGTAAAACCTTTATGTGTTAACTAATACTATATTAGAGAGATTCAGCCAAATTTCTGGTTAATGTCTGTTCATTCTATAATGTCTAGTAAAATATAGTTTAAAATGTACTTGCTCAATACCTTTCTGTCAATGCCAGGTTCATGTTTAGCCCTCATATTTGCTTGCCAACGTGATGTTTTAGCATGTCATAGTTATACAAAATTAATGTATCTGGAGTCACAGTTCACATCAGAAATACATATCTAAAATATAGTATAACTGAGGCAGATGTGCAAAAATAGTCGTTTTGTCCCTGGAATATTATTCATCTAACTGGATTTAACTGTATCAGAGGCAGTAAGGGGTGGGAAGGTGGGATCCTGTGGGGAGTCGGCTTTTAAGCTGTGTGTGCTGACTCCTGTGGAGCCGCCTGTTTCCCCTGCTGCCTCCCACAAAGGCAGCAATGTGGGTTAGGGTGTGTGTGGGGGGGGTCAAGGGAAGCTGGATCCACATAAGAACCAGTGCCTGTGGAGCCACCTGTCCCCACCCTCCGTGTGCTGCCTCTGATAGAGAGGCAGAAGCACAGGTGATATAGGGAACAGGCTGGAGCTGATACATGTGGGAAACCTTATGTATCAGATGCGGGGGGAGGGAAGAAGGGCAGGTGGGAGCCAGTGCTCCCCATGTGCTCTGGCTCCCACCTCCTTCTTCCCCAACGTGTAAATGGGTAACTGCTGAAAATTCAGCAGTTACACATTTTACCAAAAAAACAAAAACAAAAAACCCCCATGTTTGCTAACATCCCTGCTTCAAGACCATATTAATTTGGTGAATGTCTGTGATTGTGAAAAAAATCACCAGTAGCAGACAGTCTTAGAAAGGGCGAAAAATGTATCAAGGAAATTATTTAACCTTTATAGTTTTGATAATTTCCAGCCAGCATGACAGGAAACAATCAGTGATTATATTTACCGGCACACTGTTTTATAATGAAAGAGATACAATATATAATAGTCTAAAAGTAAAGTGTTGATCCTTCATTTAGGGCCCAAAAGTGAGAGAGAAGATGAAAGGCCTTTTATCCATTGAGAGAGAAGGGGGGGAAATTAGTTGCCTGATTAGCTATTTTTCTTTGAAGTTGGAATTAATTGAGTAGTGTGATATCAATCAGCTAGATGTGGATTAATATATTAGTATAGTATAGCCACTGAGTTCATGGAAGGGCACTGCTATCTCGTGAGAGTACTTCTCTTCCATTACTACATATCTTAGGTAGGGATGTTAAATATCAGTTAACTGAATAGTTGATTAACCTCATGAATTCTTATCGGTTATTTGACTAATCTATAGGCCCTGGGGGTGGGGCCAGTAGCCAATGTACTCCGGCCCCACTACTGAGGAGTCCCCTGCCACTCCGTGCTGCTGTATCAGAGACAGCAATGTGGAGCACCAGGCAGGAGCTGGTCAGTGAGCGGAGCCCGTTTAAAAACTACTCTCCTTGCAGACCAGCTGCCTGTGGCCCCACACTGCTACCTCTGATATAGAGGCAGCAGCATGGAGTTGCAGCAACCCCTGTCCAGGGTGGGATATAAGCTCCTGGACCCGGCGCAAGCCGGGACTGAGCGGGGCTGCTAGCCAGCCTGGTAAAAATTTACTGGCAAGGGTGGGAAGGGGAAACGTCTGTAGTCTATAGCATTAACCTATAAGCTTTTGCAAATCGGTTAATCAACTATACTGTTACATCCCTACTTAATAAAGAAAAATACATCTGAAACTTAATTCCAGCAATACACATACTTTTATAACTTCCAGTAAGTAAAATATTAATATATAACCTATTATGAAAAAATTAATTGATTGAGGCGTGATGTATGTACCACTGCTGAATGGATAACATGATGCTTAGTCTTCAGTTCTCATTAATTATTAATCAAATTATAGGAAGAGGCTGGAAAGAATACTGAAGGAAGAGTTGTTCCCAGTGGACTTGAAAAGGAAGTCTCTTTAAAGAAGAACACTATAGCCAGAATTTTTAAAATAACCTTTTACTTACAATCAGGACCAGATTTTCAAAATCATTCTGGTCCTATTTTAAGCCCCAGAATAAATGGCTAGATTTACAAAAAAATTCATCACATTAGGGTCTGTGCTCTTTCTCTTTTTGAATTTTTAAACATGGTTGAAAGCAGCATAACGTAAGCTCCTGAGTGCAACAGAAAATTTGGCTCCAGCTGTGGGTAGTAAACTCTTGAAAAGCTGCCCTGACACTATTTTTGCAAACCTGATCTCCCAATTATAATCATTTTCCCACCCCCTTACTAATAATACATATTCTGGAGGAATTTTTTTTCCTTAACAGCAGGTAGAAATGTAGGAGTAAAATATAGCAGCAGTAAAGGAAGCCAGTAAAAAGTATATTTTTATGTAGAAACCTAGTAGGTTTAAGGTTCTGTAGCTATACCATAAAAGCTTATGAAAATATATTAGAATGGTAATAGAAAATGTAAGTAGCACTTAATCACTGAACAAAATGAATAGATGAGAAATAAGGCTTTTGCCATACATTTGTGGAAATGTTGTCATAGATAGTAATTGGGGAAAAAAATAGACTGAGCCAGATCCCGAAACAATACCAGTTTAGACTAACACAGTCAATGCAAGTGAATTCAGAACCCAGCTTTTTGTATGGAGAACTAGCATAGTTACATTAGAAGTAGGTCCATTGAGTCTTATTTTTATCTTATTGAAACCAGTTTTAACCTCATCTAACACAATTATCTTCAGGCCAGTTTCTTCTGGTCTTACACATACGAAAGATCAGGAATTATTTTAAAAGTCCTGGTCACAGTGACTTGATCAGTTGTACTCTATTTTTAAGGTTGTATTAATATTTGCTGAATGATGAGAAATGGTAATTATCTGCCTGCATCTGTGGTCCAGTAATTAATCAGAACTCGTTGACACTATGCACAAAGAATAGAAATGAAAATTGCTTACTGCATGTCTGGAAGTATATCCTCTGTGCTGTGTTTGCTTTTTCTATGACTTGTTAGTGGCATGAAGATTAATTAGCCAATGCTCTTTGAAGATGAAAAATGTAATATTAGAACAACTATAAGTCAGAATTATTATTAGCTTTTATTAAGGGAAACTGGTTGTGTATTTACTAGTTTGAAGATCAGAATTTAACATTCAAACCATGGATGATGTTTAAATTGTGTATTCAAGTGCATGGGTGATGTTCTGTATGGACTCAGGTCATTAATAAGGACCAGCATGTTTCTAACCCATCTGATGCTTTGGGAATTTGGGATGTTAACAAATGTGGGTTTTTTTTGGTAAACGTGTAATCACTGAATTATTTAGCAGTTACACATTTACACAAATGGGTGTACACTGTAGCTGGCTTAAAAGCACTGGCTCCCACCTTCCTCCCCCACCCCCACTACTGCTACATGGGGTTCCTGTGTGTACCAGCTTCCTCCTACCCTCTCCTCCCCCATGCTGCCTCTGTGGTGTGTGATGAAGAGCAATATATAAATGCCATTTATGTATGTATGTATGACCTTGAGACTGCTGGAAGATCAACAACAGTTGTTGAAGTGAAGTCCCATTTTGCTCATCAGACAGTC